CAAACACACACACACACACACACACACACACACACACACACACACACACACACACACACACACACACACACACACACACACACACTCCATACAGTACTTACAGGAATAAAAGCCCCTAAATCTTCAACATATCCAGGATGTTCATTAAGCCATTTTTCCAAATCTTTTCTTTTGGGAGCATCATCACCTGCAAGTCTAGTTCCATCTTTCAAGTTAATAACTGGAACTGGACTTTCTGCATCACACAGGCCTTGAGCCTGTACATACGGAAGTGCTAGGTTCATTCCCGGAGCAATCTGAGGGGCATTAATGCCATGACAAACCTGCCAAAACATAATTGCAATGAGAAATACTTGCAGAAATCAAATTAAACAGGAGTCTTGTCAGGGTGGGGTGAAAATCACAGTGTATGTTTTGGAGTCAATGCCAAAAATACTACAGAGAAACCTATGAATGAAGGTAGCAAGGCACCAGAGCTCTCAAACATAAGGAGGTGTGCATTGAAACAATTTATCTCCTCTGAGTAACAAACTTACATGGTTAGGTGCTTTGTTTTGGTTTATAAACAAAGTATCAACTCCTTCCACATTCCTTCTCCTTCCTCTCCTCTTTTTTAATACAGGCTGGTCATCAACTATTACTCCATTTGCACTGGCTGTTGATTGGGTGGAAGTTCCTAATCAAACAAAGAGTCCCGGAAGATTAATAACTGAATGCTTATGTCCATTTGGAAAAAAACAAACAAACCAAAAACAAGATGACCACAAAATAAGTCAAACTTCTAGACAAAGCACCGAACAAAACTAAAATTCGGAGCAATAAGGCAGAGCAGAGGTGCACAACCCAAAGGATGTGTAGTCTGTTTCCATCAGTCTCCTCTCAGCTCACTGCTGCTGCTACGGCTACCCAGCTCATTCTCTTTCTTAAAAGACTTCTGACTCGGCCTTGTGACGCTATTACCTTCCTGCTCAGTATGGCTGAAATCCTGTTGCTAAGTCCAGTTAGTCGCACCTAGAATAGGCCCACTCAATCAGTGGGGATTTGGTGAGTCAACTCCTCTGTAAATTCGACGGCTTCTACGAGCCTACTCTATTTGCATGTTACTATGCTAAGCGATGGGATTTCTGCCTGTGTGTCTGAACTGCATAAGATCAGACTGTGCGCACAAGCTCATCCGATTCAATGCTCTTTCATACGAAAGCGTCTGCTGCAAAGAGAAAACTGGCACAAAGAAGAAGGGCAGGGTAGTCTGCTCCCTTCCCATGTCATTTTGCAAGCGCAGGGTTTTTGTTGATGGACAGGTTAGCAGGCAGTCAACCAACCCATCCATCTATGTTCTGAAGTAACACGGCACTCCACATCTGTAAAAACCCGGGGAGAGAGAAAAAAAAAACCTGAGAAATGGGAATGTCAACCTATAGTGATTCTAAATAAATAGGTTTCGAATGCTTACCTGATTCTGGCAGAGACTTTGGAAAATTCGCAAGGCAGGTCTCTGACGCATTCTGGAGTTCGTGTAGCCTGGCAAGGTACTGCTGCTGTCCTAATGTACCATCTTCAGGTTCAAATGGCCTTTTCTGACAAAGCCCCTGTTTCTGAAAAATCAATTTCAAACCACCTTCCTGTTGAATAAGCACAAAGGTTAGAAGATTTCTTTGGGAAGAAAAATTAATTTCACGGTTCAGGATTTTCATTTCAGGAATTTAATTCAAGAACAACTGACTTGTCACTATCCTCCCTCGACGTTACTACTGTCACTTAATTCGTATTTGCAGTACTGCATTTGACTACTGTAGATATATACACGTCAATATCAAATGTAATAAAGACATTTGAATATTTTTATAAATACATATTTAAAGGTAAATATGCAGATATCTAGCAACCAATTATTAGGAAAAAGCTGGCGTTGGTCAGTATCATAATCTACCTTCCGTGTCTAATTCTAGGGAATTCTGGACACGAGGACGTTTTATTATTCCGATTGTTCATCAGGAGAATTCACAATGATGGCCATTTAAAATTTCCTACTTTCAGACGTTAGGGGAACTCAGAAGAGCCACACCAACTGGAAGGTAATCACAGTACTACAGGCAAGAAAGGCCATTTTGGAAAGCATCTCACCAGCAAAGCTTCAAAAGATCAAGAAAGATACTATTCTGTTGGTAGTTTCTGAAAATGAGCATTTGAAATGCCCACAATAAAAATGCCTCACAGAAACTGCTCCAAAATTGCCCGTGAATGTGTGCATGAAGGGAGCAAGAATGAGAGCAGGCAGCTACTTATAAGTAAAGCATGCTGCACACCGCAATCATAATCAGGTCCTAGGGCAATAAAAATAAACATACGTCATTGATTTTCACTGTAAACTCCTTTTCCCGTACATGCGTCTTCACCTTTGACATCTGTGGTGACTGATCATTTTCTTCTTTAACATCTGCGTTGGGAGGGGTTGGTACACTGGGCTCACTGTACTCTGCAGCAGCACCTGGACTGTCTAGAAGCTTGGTGGTATAGAAGGAAGCTACAGTATTGCTGTCGTAACCTCTCCTTGCAGAAGGCCATTTACCTTTCAAGACTGTTTGACAAATACTATCCAGGCGGTTAATGATAACTCGATCCTAGAATAAACAGATTGAAGTCACTAAGATTTCTTCCCAGCCATGACAGCAAGTTTATTATATGCTAACTAGTCAATAATTTTGCAAAGAAACCAGTATAAACCTCACACAGTTGGTGTGTTAACTTACCTTGGGCCAGTAGGAAGCCGCCAACATATAGCCACCATGTAAAATACAGTTAGAATTTGGTGTTCCATTATTCATTTGGAAACTGTCCTGGGTTTCATCCTGCACAGTACTTAGGGAAGCTACACTCTCTTCATCATATGCTTTTAAGTGAGGAGTTCCTTCTGCTGAAATAAAATAAAGTAATTTGAACGTCCACTTCTGCAACCAGGTGGTTGGATATACAGTATAAAAATTTGACTCCTGCAAAAATCTGAACACACACACACTTTTCAAATGCAAATATTCTAAGCCAAGATAATACCCTTTCTAATGATAATTTAGATTGTTTATGAACATGGTACTTTATGAATGAGAAATGACAGCACATAAAATGCACAGGCCCTGATGTATAAGGTATTCAATTAAGTACATCATCTTCCCACTTGAGAGGTACTGGAGTGCGAAGAAATGATAGGACAACAATTCCAAAGTAATCCTCAAATGAAAAACAACCCACTAAAACAGTAAGGTCCAGGGATTATATTATGGGGTATACAGAGGTAACAGCCGTATCTTAAATCAAGAGCAGATGAAAGGCAAATTGTCTGCCTTGGGACCATCCACATATCACACAGATTGATAAAAACTGCAAACCCCCCTCCCCCCCAAAAAACCCAGGAAATGGCTAAAAACTACTTCATTGTGGGGATTCAACCTTTTATTTTGTAAAAGGAGAATTTAGCAGAGAGCTGGAGAGGACACAAAACCAGCTTTGGAATGCGAGAGAATTAATGGCAAAGGATTCTAAACCCAGGCACAATAGAGAAACAATAGAGAAACCAGGAATACTGAAACACCCCAACCCATCCATTTTAAAGGAACTGAAGGAAAGCAAATGTGGCCAGTGACTGGTTCCATCTAGGGCAGTGGTCAGTAACTTCCATGGGGTAAGGCCTACTTTTCAGGTCACCTGACTTCTTGAAGGCCATAATCCCGAAGGAGTTGTGTCCTAAGTGGAAAGAGGTATGGCCTAAAAAGCTGATGTGGAGCTTGATAGCTTTTTAAAAAGAAAAACATAGCTCGAACAGGCAACAATAGATACAAATCATTACAATGAAGTTTCTTAAAAGAAGCCCATTCAGATTTTAATGATCATACAGCAATTTCTTAGCATTAAAATGAAATCACCTTCAAACTACTCATCAAAATCAGGATGGGGAGGACCCATACTTGAGACAGTGAACAAAGAACAGAAACTGAGGTAACTTAGCCAAGAAAGAAGGAGCCAAAAAATACTCTGTTCTCGGCAAAGGCAGGAAAACAAAACTGAAAGCGGGGGGTTGCCAGAGCGGCTTTGGTCACATCATTCCTGCCGCTGACAGATGATGATGGACAGAAATCACATTGTGGGGATTCCTCCTCTGTACCAGCAAATGCTTGGTAGGTATTAAAAAGCAGAATCATTCCTCAAGCTACTCAGATTCAGTGAATTCTAATACACTGCACATCGCAACAGCAGCAGCTACGTGGGAGGCTATAATCCATGGAACACTCCAAGTTCCAAGATCATTGAGAGAAATCTACCAAAAATATCACAACAGGAAATTCTTCCACGACACTGTTGGAAGGCTTGACGAACAGAATTGCTGGCCAAGTGTTGGAACAAATTTACAATAAATGAGTACCCTAATTCCATTAGCACACAGTTACAAAACAAAAAGATCAGCGAAGTGTTTCCAGCTTCATTAAGAGAAGCAATGTATTAGGTGGTTTCCAGCTGAATGCTGGCAGACAAGCATGCTGCTGATTTGAGGTGGCAGATTTAAAACTTCCAGACTCTTTTGGGGGGGTCTTACACAGCCACACTTTGTCCACTACTATTCTAGGCCAAAAAAACAAAACAAAAAAAAACACACACACACTTGAATGGGAAAAATATATTCTGATACAGCCTTTGGTGACAGCTCTCTGGAGTCACCCTTCTACTGGTCTTAGTTTTCCAGGTCTCGCTTGGAATGATATTGTTTCTCTAATCGTCCACTTTCTTTTTCTCAAAAGATTTGTTCTCTCAAGCAAGGGAAAGGTACTTTATGTCAACTTTTAGACAGAAGCAATGGAAAACCAGAACTTTTTAACTTACGTCTCTTTTGTGCCTCTTCCTCATCACTATCGCTCTCTTCTGATGAAGACGAAGATGATGACGATGACGAAGAAGAGGAAGAGGACGATGACGATGATGCAGAAGAACAAGAAGAGGAGGATGAAGAGCTGGATCCTGATCTGGAACGTGAGCAAGAGGAAGATGAGGATGACGAAGACGAAGAGGATCTGGAAGAACAGGATGATCTGTCGGAATCAGAGTCGGAATCGGAGCTGGATTCCGATCCTCTCTTGATTGGCCTCTGTTTTTTGGAAGCAGCATTGGGAGTTAGTGGTTCTGTCCTTGCCGCAACCATACGCCGATCACTATCAGCCTTCACCACCGGTTTGTGGTCCATTGGTTGTGATGCTGTGCCATTCTTTGGGCTCAAAGGTTCAGTCTTTACTCCTGTCCGCACATCCTCAGTAGACATAGACTCTTCTCCCGAAGAATGGGCTTCTTCCTTATGGTTCTCATTCTTAAGTTTTGTATCCTCAAGTGTGCTTCCTTTAATATCTATCAGTCTTGTCTGAGGCGTGAGAGGAGGAGCAGACAGCGCCATCTGATACTGGTGCAGGAGCGGAGTAGGAGCCCTTGAAAGTGCAACTTTATTGTGACTGTAGTTCCTCTGGGCTGACATAAAGGAAAGTTCAGGATCTCGAAGGATGTGGTAATCTGTCCTGCTAACCCCATGTTTTGCAGCTCCAATGAGTAAATCCCAGTCGTGTGTCCCACACTCCCACCAGAGAGGCAAGTCTGGGTTTGGCTGACAAAGTTTTAACCGCTCAAATACTTGTGGATGACGGACAGCCTGTTCTCGTACCTTCCTGAGAAGTTCGATTCGATACAAGGTTCGAGATGCACGTTCCTCTGTGATTGGTTGGATGAAAATATTTGGGTCCACAAGTTCTGTACAGGAAAACACAGAAAAAGAATCTGCAACTTTCAGGACTGGAATTTCTAAGGTACATTAGAAGCTCAGAAAAGAGTAAAATAAATCAAGTGTTGCTCTTCTCTAAAAATACTTTTTCCTAACCCCTCATTCAAAAAAATATTCTGGTTAGTTAGTTATGGTTTTAGGAAATTAAGAGCTAAATATTATGACTGTTCTGTGTGTATGTATGAAAATCAATTTAAGGATATTTTTCTGTCAGCACGGCTAAGAACAATAGCATCCTCTGCACATGAAAACCCCCAGTGGAGAGAAATGGGCTCTTTATGACTCCTCCCTCACATGAAGAACCCATTTAATTAGAAATCTCATAATCTATTTTTAAAGCTTTTGTTCCATTTAAATGTTCTTTTTTTACAGCAGAAAAACATCAGGTATCACAAGTCACCCACCATCTTTTGAAGGGAGGCGACAGACTCTTCTGCACATGGCCATGAAGGCATAAAAGTACTTCTCTAAACTCTCATCCGTTTTCTTATGTAGTCTAGCCATAGCTCTAAATTTTGTCCAGTCAAATTGGGCTCTGTCAGGATCAAACACTACTCCAAAAGTTGAAACCACTCTGTAGAAATCAGCTTCTTCTCTTCTTGTCCATCTAGATTGAGAACCAAGAAGGAAAATAATCACAAGTAATTTCTTCCAAAAAAAAATCCAAATCAGGGATGATGAGAAAGAAATCTAATTAGATCACGTGATCTACAAAAGTAAAGCATTTAAACACAGACCTTTGTTGTCTTTCAATTTTGGCAGCCATTTTTGGATTCAAAGCAGCTTCTTCATATGGAGTCTGCATCACACAGGTTTGAACTGGAAATGCAGGTTGAATTTGCTGGGTTTGCCTGTTTTTACTGGTACGCTGGTACGCTGTTATTAGGCGACGCAAACGCGTTGTTAGGGCAGACTGCGTTGGCCAATAAAGCTTGTCCCCTTCAGTCATATGACCATCTAGAAATTAAAAAACAACAATACTCGTTTGCTGGATTTTACACGAAAGCAAGTGCAAACTCCCTCTGTTTCAAAATAATAATACACACACTACAATAATTAAACATCATAATCATTACCTCCATCTGCTATTATGAGATCTCCCGGTGATGATACATCATCCTGAGAAACAAATTAAAACAAAAATCTAGAATGAACAGAAGCATGATTCAGACGCAGTATAAGCCACCCATCTGGGAGATGACTAAAAGCTCTAATAATAGTGACAACTCATCTGAAATATGGATTCCTAACAACTCCCTTTTTAAAAATTAAGATGCTTCAAATCTCTTTGTAGGGAAAAAAAAAGCATCATCACATTTCTAAGTGTAGGAATAAAGTGATAAATTAATGACTATGTGAGAATTCATTACCTCCATATCGTCTTTAAACATTGCTGGGGTTGGTTTGTACTCCGGATCTTCTACATCCCTGAAAAAACACACAGTGTGGACATGCTAATAAAATATGTGTAGTTTTCTATGCAATGCTTTGCCTACAATAACAGCAATAGGAAAAAAGTCCTTTGTCAGAAGAAACAATCACTAAAAAGAATATACATTCTAGTTGTGATCACTTGCTGTATTTCTCAAATATGAATATTGACACTTTACCCACCAAATATAGGCATTTCATTTTTCATCTAAGAAAAACAAACTTTTTTAGTCTGTACATTAATTATCAGACTCTGCATCAATGTTTAAATCATAGATATTTCATGTTTTCTGTTCCTTTTTTTAAAAAGGGTGGGTGGGGATAGGTCAGGAAAAGAAGAGCGAAGATCGACGTTGTCCAGGACACAAACCCCCTTGGTTTTTTTCACACTTAATCTCAGAAACTGCCAGATCATGGCAATAGGCATCAGATCTTATTATGGAAGTACAGTATTTTAAAGACCTGTCCTCTGTATCTCACGGAACACTTCTAAAACACATACAATGTGAGAAATGGATGCACTGCTGAATGAAACAACCGTATGAACCTTGACTGTGCAGAACACAAGCCCTTCCAGATATTTCTGGGACTGCAACTCTCAACTCTCCTCAGAAACACGAGAATTAATGACTGATCTGGCAAATATCACCCACGCCTAGTGGGCATAAGAGATGGGACATTTGTATTTGTATCCCAAGGGATAGGAATAAAGATATCACTTGGGATATTGGAGAAACCCGGGCCACGGAACTCAATGGGGAGTGCGTCCCTGGAGATACACCAAAAAGCAGGAAGCATGAACAATAAGGTCTTTGTTCCTTCTTTTCTGTTCATCCAGAACAACTCTCTCATTTTGTCTGCTGCTTCCTGTGTGACTTGACCCCTAATAAACACTCCCCACCCAGAACAACTCTCATCCAGAACAACTCTCTCATTTTGTTTGCTGCTTCCTGTGTGACTTGACCCCTAATGCGCTGCCTGAAAAGCCTTCTGCACTGCATGCATCTCCCAGGTACTTATGGAGAGGACCTTCTCCCACAGAGACTGCTTTCCTTAGAAAGATTATCAATATGAACTCCCCACCCACTGGAAGATCTTCCCATGGTTAGTGGCCAGATGTACACAACTATTTAAGAAACATGTAAAGTGGTATCAAATTTAAATTAACGACTGACTGATTTATAGATTTAAATGATAGTTTAAACTGCTTTGATTTCAGTCAATTAATTTTTATTAAAGGGAGAAACTTTGGAGAGTTTGCACCCTTTTATCTTGACCATATGCATCCTAACATTCAGTGATATAACTTTGATATCTCTTTCACAGTGATATAAAAACAAACATACCCATCAATATAATCATTTGCTCTCTGTTCAGCGGCAACTGCTTTGTCATCAGGCTTCCCCACTCTTTCCAAGAAGCAGAGGGCAGCATCTGCTCTGATTGTGTTGTACTTTTCGTAACCTGAAAAAAACAAGTCAATATACTGCATTACCTCAGAAGGCTACCAACCCGTACATGACAAGCAAATTATGCCATTCTTACCGTGTTTAAAAACTCCTATTAATAGAGACTTGTCAGCTTCTGTATCCCACCACTCTGCTGGCACCTCAGAATGATCTGGCTCGGGGATCCATAGATCAATCTCACTGAAATGTTGACCATAACGAAAATAATTAGTCTACACTTTGTAAGACACATTAGACAAGATACTGCCTTTTTAATTTCATGCATTCACCGGTGGTGGTGGGTGGGCAGTCTCTCTCAACAGGAAATTTATCACTTAAAAGACTGCAGATCTTTTTAATAGTAAGCTCAGAATTTTGAATTATGACTTTATTTAAGATTCAAGGGGGGAGGGAACATGATGTATGGTTTACCTGGCATCAATCCCATCAAAAACCTTTTGGCATTCATTACCAATGACTTCTTGTTTCAAGTAATACAGCATTCTTACTCGAAGTAAGACCCTAAGCATGAACACATTGATCGCAATTAATTACATGACATTAATTCAGACCATATTTTAGTTGAATTAGTTATTATTGTAATATGCAAAGCAGTGTTTTACCAAAAATCATCAACACATTTACAGCCAAACTGCCTTATGTGATTTTGGGCTGTTCTTTTCTTTTGAAATTTCTAAAATCAAATTTTATTTTTTAATTGTTAAATTGATATAGAAATTATATTAAGGTGAAGTTGGAAGGGGCCTATAAGGCCATCCATATCCTTTTTATGGTTTGCTATTATTATAAAATAGAGAGACAGAGTACACCTCTTACAACATACACATAACTATGTAAGTAAAGTAAAATTCCACTGAGACAATTCTGTATACTTAAGGGTTTGCATGTACCCAGTGGGATTAAAAAAAACCCTCAAACTCTCCTCATAAGGTCAAATGCAGTTAATTTTCCTAAACTATTACAGTAGTTATTTATACAGCTACTTACTTGTTGCAGTGGTGTTTTATGTGTTTTTTATAGCCATCATCTTGCAACAAATGCTCTGGATTATACTTTCGTAGCCATTCTGCTTTATGTATATCAAATGTGCTGGCTTGCGTCTTAACTTTCTTTCCTTTTCGACCCCGTGGGACTGGGGCTGACAAACCTACATAATATAAACATACAGTGCAACAATTACATGATGAGATGATAGATTTTCTTACCATATTTACAACTGTTAACATCCTACATGCACCACTTTACTAAATTCAATTCCAGATAAAGTCTTCTTCTGAAGTATAATGCTTGCATTTCAAAGAAACAAGGAGATCTTTAGCTTTTAACAGCTTTGCTTTTAAAGTTGGCTGGATAGCTCAGTAAGATGGGTTTCTGGCTGTGGAACCAGACGTTGGGAGCTTGAATGCCTACTGCATCCCAGAAGAGCCAGATTATGTGGCCTTGGGCAAACTGCATGGATCCTGGATGCCCTCAGAAGAAGGGAATGGTAGACTCCTTCTGATTACTCTTTACCTAGAAAGCCCTCAAAAGGGTCAATGTAAGTCAGAATTGACTTGGTGGTACACAATAGTTATATTTAAATCATTACATATAGTTTCATAATTTTTCTCCTCTTTCCTTGAGGTAAAGCAAGCATGATTTCAAATTGTGTGTGTGTGTGTTATTTCATTATTTTCTTTCTAGTTATTAGTCACCAGATTTCCTCCTCCAGTTACTATTTTCTCTCACAAATCCCTAAAGTGATGTCCATCTGATGTCACCAACAAGGGATCAGAAGTACTTGTATGGGATCTTACTGCCACTGAATTTTATGAAGCATAATTAGCTTGTACTATCTTCTGAGAGCACCTTTAATTTCCTCACCAATTAACCCAGCTACAGCAAACACTGGCACACTCAGGATCCTTACCTAGATGATTCTGTAGCTCTCGAGTTTGCCCATCCTCAGTTGGTGTAATTAGGTCCCATATGAAACTTTTAATCTTTTCATCTCCTCTGTAATGAACAAGGCAATATGCTAGGAGAGCTCGGCAAATTATCTCCACATCCTGCTCATTCAGTTGTCTCTTGAAGCGCCCATGTGATAAAATCTCTCTCCAACGACCCCACCTGGTTAAGATTTAACACACATCAATATTTAAATCAAAACCCCTGTAGTTTTTAAGAGGACTGTTGTATACTGCTTTTCAAGAATTCAATGGCCAATGTGTCAACTGTGCTTTCTCTGATGCAACAACACTTTCTGGGTTTCGTTCATTTATTAAAGTTTTAGGGCATCTGCACATTGTGGGATCCAACTCAAGGCAGCATTATTAGGACTCAGGGAGAATGAATGTGGCAATCCTAAAAAGCCACCGCTATCCCATCCTACCTCGTCTTTTTCTCTTCACCAAAACACCTGAAGTAGTTAGCAATGCTGATAACCTGCTTCAATCATATGCCAGAATGAAATGTTTTCTTACTCTCTGTACCTCAAGTTCTTTTTCTCCACCACAAGCTTAAAAGGAAAGACACTATTTCTATAAAAATAAAATAGATTTGGTACCTCATACATTTCTCCACAGCCAAAAGTGATCTAACTGGTCTAAGCATTCCCAAGGCTGAGAGTAATTTTGCTGTTTTAATTACTAATCTAATACATACTACAACAAATGTTGTTATGTATTACCATATTTCTTTTTAAAGTAATTCCCAGAGAGCTTTGAGGCATCTTAAAGACTAAAAACCTTTATTTGGAATATGTTTCTACGAATCACTTCTTCTTCAGATACAATAATCTGAATCAGGGGCATCAGAACAAGTGGGCTATACTCTCATGTCAGCGACACACACAAAAAAGTTATTAATGCCACCTATGCAGCTTTAAGCAAACTGCACTAATGCAAAAGGAGGAATGGTTAAACCACTTCTGAGCAAATAGAAAACCTTGGATGGTTGCCATAAGTTGCAATCAACTTGACAGCACATCATCATTATTAATAACAATCATCAGCAAGGTGCCACAAGACTCTTGGTTGGTTTTGCGTCAACCGATCAGTATGGCTACACCACTAGACATTTAAAATAAATATGCTCTCTACTCTGCAAAACATAGTTTTCCATCAACAAATACATAACCTAACATAAATCTGATCTTAAGATGTCCTGTAATGTAAACGACATTCTTTCACAATTTTGTTCCATTGTCATGAATACCTGCTTTGTAAGAGTACTGCAGTGTAGTTAGTAAACTAGTGAGACAACAGCTAAGCAGAAAAGGCACATTTTTCTCATTTCAGTCCAGAATAAGAAAAAGCTTTATTTTTTACCCATAAACTAGCAGATTTTTCTCCACCCTAAAGCATTCTGTTCTTCCATATCCATTGGCGCGATCGTAAGGCCTGCGAAGTTTTGGTTTATCATCCCCTTCGCTTTCAATGTCTGATAACTCAGCGAGTTCATCCTTTGTGGCACTGAAAGGCCTTGTCTGCTTTCGGATTCTGGGAGTGTCAATAACCAGGCTATTCTATGAAACAGAACACATATTTCGGAACATATATGTTGTGAAAAGTTAAAAAAAATCAATAAAAGCAGCCAGGAGGCTACAAATACTCTTCTGGATCTTTGGCTATAGAAGCAGGACATATATGTTGTGAAAAGTTTATAAAAAACATCAATAAAAGCAGCCAGAAGGCTACAAATACAGCATAAGGCACACTCTTCTGGATCTTTGGCTATAGAAGCAGACTACGAGTAGCAGGCAAGAGAGAAGACTCTTGCACCCCCATATTGTGCATGTCTAAGGCAAGTGAAGGAGGAGGCAAATGGACAGGGCAGGCCATTGTGTAGGGAAAAACTCAAAGTCTTTTTCCCTTGAGTTACAAAAAGTACGTAGAAGATTATGGCCATCTGATGGCTTTGGCTTCAAATGACAAAGGCAGGCATTTTCAGTATATCACATCCAACTTTTCTAGTCCCACAATTATCAATAAACCAAGGTTTGTGGTCTCTTTATGTCACGTCCCCCCTTGGACATCACACAGTTCCAAGATATTTCTAACGGAATAAGAATTTCATACAGAAAAAAATGCTACATTACTGCATCATTAACATACAATATATCAAGCAGCATCTACCCATTTAGAGTTGGAAAAAAATTTGTTAGGATACTGCCATTAAAAAAAAGCTTATGTAGTAATTAGGACTGGGCCAGCAAAGTTATTACTATGGCAAGCTTCACGGCACAGCTACTACTACATTAAACTACAAATTACTCAAAAAGCTGGCTACAACCACTAGAGCAACTTCCAGGAGTTGGAAGATGAAACACTTTCACCCATGGACCTTGGACTGCCACTCCTCCTTTTGCAGCCCTTACACAAAAAGATTTTTGTTTCATTTTTCAAGATTAAAAAGCTCACTCACCACCCTTTCACAGCAAAATAATGGGAGGGTGCTGACAATTTTTCCCCCAGGACTCCTTAGAGGCTGCAAGCAGACCTTCTGAATGACCCATATGTTCTTTCAATAATGGAAGGTTGTGTGGCCCTGGAGCAGTGTATGTGGCCCACGGCCTTTGCTTTGCCTATTCTTGAAATACAGTGATGGACATCCAACCTGCAAGTTTTAGTGCAAATATATAGATACTTACTCTACCACTGATGGTGTCTATGTCTATTTCTGCCTTTTTGGCCCACTTCTGCCAGAAGTTGGGATCATCTAAGGAAATGTCTGTCCTATTTCCAGATGCAACGAAACTAGCCTGTAAGAACATAATATAAAAGAGTTACTAACACATCAGTTCGATTTACGGCATGACAAACTAGATGTTACCCTAACTCCAACACCGGAACAAATCCACCACATACATGCCAATTTGATCTGAAGTAGAACAAACAAGGATCCCGCAGTGGGACTCCACCTCCCTCCACGCATGCTCCTTTGGTTCCGATTGTGACAGAACCCTACACACATGGGGGGCGAAGTTGTACGCACATGCAGGGGAGAAATTGAGTACACGAGAGGCGGAACCCCGCCCAGCAGGCCTGAAAATTAGAGGGTATGCTGAGTACACGAGAGGTGGAACCCCACCCAGCAGGCCTGAAAATTAGAGGGTATGCTGAGAAACAGCCACACCAATGTAAGTAAATACTCCTGATCTATTCAGCAAGGAGGGGGGATACTAATAAGTGAAAAATCAGTGAATAGTTATGGCAAAGTCCCTTGCAGGGTAATTCTAAAAAATATTAAAATTTTCCAAAGTTTTGCGAATAAGAAAAAAAGGCACCTTTTCTAGCTGCACAGAAATCAACTTATAACTACCTTAGCAAATGTAGAACCCCTTCCTTCAGATTCAATTGTGATCGTTTTTGTACGACGCTGCAATATTTGATCTATATCTTCTTCACAGAATTTAGAGCCTTCATCTTCTTCATCCATAATGGCACCATATGCACCTCTTCGAAGCAAATCCTCAATTTCTTTTTTGGAAAGTTGTTGGATCTGTATAAATAAGAGTTCGATGTTACAAGAACCTTTTTAAAAAGCTCAGCAGAAAGACATGAATGTGCTATAGCTGTGTATTTCATTTTAATTTTGTCCTCACCTAAGGAGAACTCATGCTTGGTTAGTGATATGCAGTATTTAATATAAAGCCACTGATTTTATAGAAATATTCCAAAAGATTATAATTATATTATTCCATATCATTTTAATATGGAATGTTATCACATTAATATTTACATCTGTGTTTCTTTATTTTAGATGGATGTTTATATATTTCCACATGGTCAAAGGTTCCCCAGCTATATTTTGTTGTGCTTTCCTTCAGTTCACACAACCAACCAGCACAATTCTAAGTCATAAATGAGATTTTGTCTCACCTATCACTAGCGTTCCTACTTGAATAAAATGAATAATATCCTATAGGTTTAATGAGAAAACAGATGTTAAAAAAACTGGGCAAAACTTTACTATCGTACTCTTCCTAAATTTTGAATTTTCTTCTTCTTCTTTAGGATAAAGACCACAAAAATAATAATCATATGGCTTTTTACTGTTTCCAGATTTCTATTTCTTGTAAGAAAAAGGGGAAGGGGCAGAAAGGAGAGGAATGGTACATACACCACCAACACTATTTTCTCTTCCGCTCATGCTCTGTAAGACAGCTTTATCGAGGCCAAGCTTCAGACTCGCTCTGTCAAACATTTCTCTTTCATACGAATTCCTAGTTATCAATCTGTAGACTTTCACTGCTTTGTTTTGACCAATCCTATGGCATCGAGCTTGGGCCTGAAAAAAAAAAGACACAAAGATTCATCAGATATCTCACCAAGCAGAAATACTGTAATGGCAAGCCCATATAGAAAGAGTCCAGAAGCCCTAATTAAACTGACTTTTTCAAAGAGCCAAATACAGCTAATAGATATAGCTACATCAGTGAAATATTTCCATAGTTGAAACATGTCAAGCTTTCCTAGAAAGAGCTGCACAGAAAATTTAAATTAATGTCAAACGAGGCAAGCTAATTGTGCTTTTTAAAAACACTTTTCTATATTGTATGCTAGAGTTCCGCAATTTTGCTTGCCAAATGCTCCGACAGTTTCTGGCACGTCTGGAAAACTTTAGGCTTCCTCCCAATCCTGAACTGCAGAAGGACAGATTTCTCTCTGCTCTGGGTTTGACAATAAATCAGAGTAGTTAGCAAGAACACAGACAGGCCTGCATAACCTGCTTCCTCTCCTATAGCCTGTAGAGGTAAAGAAGAGGCTTTCTTTCCTTTGCATTACTGCTTCCTCTCCTATAGCCTGTAAAGAAGAGGCTTTCTTTCCTTTGCATTTGCAAAGACAAGGATGATGGGACCTGAAGATGGTCTGCTGTCGCATGCTCGACATACCCTCTAAGGTGCGCATGTGCACAGAGCCCCATTGGCGTCATCACACAGCAGCAGCTGGTGATGATGCCCATTTACTTCCTGGCCACCCCACATGGGGTGAGGCTGCCGCAGAGTGCGACCAAAAATTAGAAGGAACATTGCCCATGCTGTATATCAGAAGGAGCATGGGAGGCCAGGGACAAGAAGAGCATTTTCTCATAGGAAAGGGAAACACTTCTAACCAACAGATATTTTTGATTAGCAATATAGGAGTGTTGAAGAGCGTGGGTCCTGCTTGATAGCTAATTTATTCAGTATCTATTTTAATTGCCCTACACGCATAAAACCTGATACAGCCTGAACCCATTGTAGCTCCTGAATGCCTCTTTTCTATAACTCATTCAGCCCACAAGAACATTGCTGCCATCCTGTTTGTTCACACCTGCGCCGGTGTATATTAAACAGGCTCATGTACAGGCATCCTGTATACATTTCTACCTCAATGCAGAAGGTTTATTCAGTAAAATAAATTTACCTGCAAATCATTCTGAGGATTCCAGTCAGAATCAAAAATTATACACGTATCGGCTGCAGTTAAGTTAATGCCCAGTCCTCCAGCTCTGGTACACAGAAGGAAAACAAACCGATCCGAGTCTGGCTTGCTAAATCTGTCAATGGCAGCCTGGCGTAAGTTTCCTCTTACTCGTCCATCAATTCGCTCATACAGATACCTTTGAAGTGAAAACAGGAAGTGACCAAAATAAGGCCTCTATCAGAATTTAATTACTTCTGAGAATTGTAACAGTCATCGCAATGTGCTACACTACTTTGACAGACCCTATAGTATTATTCTCATGATCTGAAGTAGTTCCACACACAATTTTACAAACATCAAGGTATCTCCAAACAACATCCAACTGAACGCATATATATACCCAGCAAATTTCCCCAACAATTACTACAGGATGTGAAGGCACAATTCTATAAAAGTGAGTGAAGCCTCATTCCACCTCAAAAATATTTCAGAATACCTTCCTTGGAGCTTAAGGATTCAAAACCTATGTATATGTATTAATTTGCACACATATACATTCTGTGCTTTTGGAGCAACTCAATTGTTGTGGTACTCTCTCTGTGATATATTCCAGTCTAAAATGTACGCTTTCACAAAACTGACAGTTACCCCAATTTTTAACCCCTTCAATTACCCCCTTCAGTTATTCCTCCAAATGTTCAGAAAATAACTGAGAGCAAAAGTAGATGTTTCTCCATTGACCAGTATCTCATGGCATGGTAACCAGACTCCCTTTAGGAAATTATGTATTTTATTTTCAGTTATAATTTCGACGATGTAATTCATTAAAGCAATGCATAAATCGTTATATTGACAGCAATCCTATACACACCCATCCAGGAGTTAAGGCCCACTGAACTTAAATGGGACTTCTGAGTATACACACAAAGAACTGCAGTATCAATAGTATACGTATGTATACTACCAAGATCCACTTCTTCCAGACTGTGAAGATAATAAAATCTTGTTCCATGCAGAGGTATGCAGTTAATAGTGTGATTTTTTTCTTTAATATGTTTTATGTCTGTGTATTTTATTGTGAACCACCCAGTAATGGGAAAGGTATATTAAACTGAAATAA